AAATGGTTGTTGTTATGACAACTGTTGACATTATTTATATTTACAGAAATGCTACTTTTATTTTTATTTTGTGATTTATTTCATTGACTTGCAAACCTTCAATTTCTGAATCCTTATTTTTCTTATAGAGGTATGTTTTGACATGTATTTTAAGGCGAGGAAAAAAAAAAGAAAATCATTATATATATTATTATTACATTATTACATTATTACATTATAATATTAATTACTTTTCTCTTTCAAAAAAAAAAAAACGGATCTAGTTACGCAACTAGTAAGGAAAAAAAAAAGAAAATCATTACATATATTATTATTACTTTTCCCTCTCAAAAAAAAAACCGGATCTAGTTACGCAACTAGTAAGGAAAAAAAAAAATCATTATATATATATTATTATTATTATTACATTATTACATTATAATATTAAATAGAAAATATTTGTATTTTTCATATAAATAAATTAATTCTTTATATACTATTAATTTTGAAAATACAACAATTAAAAAGGAGTAACATTCAAGTAGGGAATAAGTATGTTTTAAGGGTATACTGACATCCTTATTTTCTACTTAAATGGGAAATATTTAAGAATAAAACGAGTATAATCTATGTACAATTCAGGTGTGATTTAAGGATAAAACAAGAACTGCCCCAAGATCAGAACGTTTACTAAGAATTGACACATAAAAACAATTACATTCCAAATAGCGTTCATTGTGTTGTGAACAATTATTTGTTTGAGTGGAGGAATAAGAACAGGTACGAATTTGATAACGTAAAAATAAATGTTGGTTTGATTCATGTTGTCAACAATCACTTCACCAATAGTTGTTTCGTTAACAAATGGTCCGAATTTAAGAAGCTGGAAGCAACCATGCGACAAACCTTTGAAATAGTCTAATAAATTAAATTGTACTTCTCGAAAATGTATTTAAAGGGTTGGTTTTCGACTTGGTTGAAGAATAACTCTCTTCCTAAGACCATATCTCTCGATATAATCAAAATAACCTTAATATAATGAATGTCAATGAAATGATTGTAAACACAACAAATTT